GTGAAACTACATATATAAAATTACACTTGTAATTTAAAATAATAAGATGACCACTGCGCACTTATTAGAATGACCAGAATTCGGAACACTGACACCACCAAATGCTGGTGAGCACATGGAGCAACCGGAACTCTCATTCATTGCTGCTGGGAATGCAAGATGGTACAGACACTTTGGAAGACAGTTTGTAAGTTTCTTCCAAAGCGAAACATACTTTGACCATATGATTCAGCAACTGCACTCCTTGGTATTTAACAAAATGAGCTAAAAACTGATGTCTACACAAAAACTACACCTGGATGCTGATGACAACTTTATTCATAATGCCCAAAGCTTGGAAGCAACCAAGAGGTTCCTCCGTAGATGAATGGAAAAGTAAACGGATACATCCAGACAATGAAATATTATTCAGCGGTAAAAAGAAATGAGCTATTAAGCCATAAAAAGACATAGAGGAAACTTAAATGCATATAACTAAGTGAAAGGTCAGCCGATCTGTAAAGGCTGCACACTATGTGATCCCAACTACATGACATTCTGGAAAAGGCCGAACTCTGGAGACAGTAAAAGATCAGTGGTTGCCAGAGGCTGGGGTTTTGGGAAGATAACTGGGCAGAGCACAGAGGACTTTTAGGGCACAGAAACCCGGTATGATGTTATAATGGGGGATACATGTCATTATATATTTGTCAAAACCTATGGAATGCACAGCACCAAGAGTGAGCCCTAATGTAAACTATGGACTTCAGTGATTGTGATGTGTCCCTGTACTTTCATTGGTTGTAACAAATGGGCCACTGTGGTGGGGGAGGTGGATAGTAGGGGAGGGTATGCAAGTGTGGGTGCAGAGAGCCCATGGGAAATCTCTGTACTTTCCACTCAGTACTGTACTGTATACTTTCTCCTGCTGAGAACCTAAAACTGCTCTAAAAAATAAACTTGTTCAAACATATTAATAGTAATCATAATTATAAGGTGCTAATTATACATCAAGAATGCGGAGCCCGGCTGGCATGGTTCAGTGGTTAAGCATTGACCTATAAACCAGGAGTCATGGTTCAATTCCTGGTCAGGGCACATGCCCAGGTTGTGGGCTCGATCCCCAGTGTGGGGCGTGCAAAAGGCAGCCAATGAATGATTCTCTCTCATCATTGATGTTTCTATCTCTTTCTCCCTCTCCCCTCTCCCTTCCTCTCTGAAATCAATAAAAATACATTTTAAAAAAAGGAAGAAGGAGGAGGAGGAGGAGGAAGGGGAGGAGGAGGAGAAGGAGAGGTCTTAGGGCTTCAACTTAAAAAAAAAAAATATGTGGAGCTTCAGTTCCTTCCGCTGGAGTAGACTTGGCATGTTCTAATCCTTTGCTCTCTAGGACCTGGAAATAGAAACGGAGATTTGGGGAAAGGAGGTGGGGCAAAGGGCCCACACCAACCTCTGCCTCCTCTGCTGCTGTGGGGTCGGACTCAGTTGGCAGTGAGGGGAGGCCTTCGTTTTAATTAAGTGCCATCTCTTTTGCCAGGCTCTCCGCCAGGCTCTTGCTTGGACTCGCCCTGTGCTGCCGCCGTCGGGCGTGGTGGGCGTGTGTTTGTTCTTGCTGCAGCTCCGAAGAGCTGAGTCGACTTCAGAGTAGAGAAGCTGAGGTCAGCACCACACTCGCAGGGGAGCCTGCCTCCTTGTGTGGCTCCTACATGATGGGAGTATCTCTTTACCTATTGAAGCTTTCTTCTTTTGAGTTAAGCAGAAAGATGATGTTGGCCATGCATGGGGTTCCTCAGTGCCCAGGATGGGAAATGCCACCCGCCGCCCTGGGTGTCTGCAAACACTCTCAGGCTTGGCCTTATGAAGAGACAACTGCCCTGCTCCTGCTCCTCTTGTGAACTAGGAAGGTCCAAGTCAGCTCTCAGTCATCGTCAGAGACGCTTCTGCGGCAGGTGTTCGTGTCCGATTAGCTCAGGGGGAGCCGGGGAGCTGGACAGCACAGCAGGCTTTTGTTCACGGGCAAATGTAAAACCAGGCGCGACCACTTCCTTAGCTCACCGAGCCCAGCCTTCCTCCTCTAGGAAGGGCAAAAAGCCAGGCCTGTCTCATGGCCACCAAGTGAGAGCAAGGACAGCGCAGTCTGGCCCATAGGAAGAGCTCGGAAAGAGTAGGTCTTGTGCCGGCCAGCGGGGCTCAGTGGTTGAGCGTTGACCTATAAACCAGGAGGTTACAGTTTGATTCCCGGGCAGGGTGCTAGAGGCAGCCTGTCAGTGAGTCTCTCTCATCATGGATGTTTCTCTCTCTCTCTCTCCCCCTCTCCCTTCCTTTCTGAAACTCTCTCTTTCTCTCTCTCTCTCTCTCTCTCTCTCTCTCTTCCTCTCTAAAATCAACAAAATATATTTTTCAAAAAAGGTCTTGTAACTGCTTGAACTGTCCTGTAGCAAGAATTCGTGTTTTACATTATAAAGTAGTAAACCTTCAGACTGTTCAAGGCCCAGAGAGGATGTACGAATTAGCCAGTCTCTTCTCTCTCGGAGAGGGAAGTGGTCCCCTGGGGCGGACTTTCGCTGGTTAATTATAGAACCAAGACTAGAATCTGGCACTTCCGTTTCTGAGACCAGGCCTCTCTCCCCTGCACCACACCACCTGCCAACTCAGTGGCTCTTCTTGCCCGGTGAGCAGTGAGCTGTGAGCTGAGCGTCAGGAACTCCCTGCATACACCAGGGCTCCCGCGGGATCCCTGTCTGGTTCTGTGTGGCCGGGAGGGAGGGCCGTGCATCAGGGCACATGCCAGAGCCCTTGACCCCCTGGCAGCCCCCAGGGCCACGTTGCACCTCCTACGAGCTCATGGACTCCCATCAGGTGGCGAAGGCTCAGGATGTCGGTGGCCAGCACGGTCGGCTGCAGCTGGGAAAGCACCTCCCCACCCTCGGTCTGTGGGAAGCCACCATGTCAGCCTCCCAAATGGGAAGAGGCTCACTGGGTGCAGAACTGGCTTCTTACTTCCGCTGAGACCTGGCAACAGAACACGGAGCCTGGGCCGTCTCACCGCTGAAACGCAGCCTGGTCCCACAGCTGTCATTAAACCCCGACACCCGCAAAGAACCAGGGCTCTGGCCACCTGGACCCGTGGTTTTCCATCCTTAGAGTTGGGCAAAGGTGCCTAAGGAGCCAGCAAAGAGGGGAGGAGGGTGAGCAGCCTGAGCCCCGCCCCTACGCTCCCCTCCCCGAGCAGTTCCGCTTTATCTATCTTATTTATTGCTGTTCTATTTACAACTTTATTTGAATAAAGACTTCTGTTGACAGACGTCTTTATTCAACATGCACATATGTCTTATTTTAACTAGACCTTCGTTATAGCTTCCCTTATTTTTCTTTCTGGAAAAATAGACAAAAACACAGAGGTCCTGTTCGGCTAAATGTGCGTCCTGTGGGTCAGGGAGAGCTGGTGTGTCCTAGGAGGGGGAGAAGGAGGGGGCATTTAGGGAAGGCCACAGCTCCCGTGGATGACCTCCCTGCCCTGCATTTATTAAGCCTCTGAGTCTCTGTAACTGACTTTTCTGTAAGTGGCGCCTCAAAGCAACATTTGCCAATGACTTCCCTGGCTTAGGAAGGGTGCCTGCGCTTGCTGGGCCCTGGACACCGCCCCCCCCCATTAGCATGGCCACCCCCTGGCGTGTTTGTTCTTGAGGCTCAGGAGTGGGCGGCTAACAAAGGAGCCTCTTGGTGTCCGGACTTAGACCCCTTCTGAGGAAAAGCAAAGGGAAGGCGACACGGCGACCCTAGAGTCCCTGATGCGTGTCCCAGGGCTGTGCGGTCCTTTGCTGATGGAGAGGAGGGGCTAGAGATGTACAGTCAAGGCTGGAAGGGGCCAGAAAGGGGGGTCAGGAGGAGATCATAGCCACTTCTGTGGGTCGATTCCTGGTCAGGGCGCATGCCTAGGTTGCAGGTTCAATCCCTGGTCAGGGCATTGATGTTACTCTCTCACATCAATGTTTCTCTCTCTCTCTCTCTCTCTTTCTCTTTCTCTCTCTCTCCAACAAAAGCATATCCTCAAAAACTACCAATCAGTGTTCTTGGAACAGCATTCGTTGTGACCTTGAACTTGAGTCCCAGCTCTGCCATTTGTTAGTTGTATCATCTTGAGGAGAGGAGCTACCTTCTTTGAGCCCCTATTTTTTCTTCTGTAAATGGGTATAACAGGAACCATTCAGTAGGGTTATAATTAGATGTTACTGTTAACCTAAAAATAAAAGGCCACGGTGAGAGAAACCAGCGTTTATTTGAGATCCAATAGAACAGCCCTTCGGGGAGCACCGATTCAGGCAGAAACCCAGATAGGGTTCTGATGAGGAGGAGGAGGCGAAGGGTATTCATGAGAAACGGAAGGGGACCATGTACATCCATAAAAGGAAGGAATTTCTATAGGTACAGATACGCCAACATACTGATGCCATTTTTTAATGTGTTTTTATTGATTATTTTAGAGAGAGAGGGAAACATTGATGTGAGAGAGGACTCCCTACGACTCCCATACACTCCCCCACCCCGACTGGGAACCGAATCCGCAACC